ATCTACAGGGGTGGCATGGGGGAGGGGGGGGGGTGCAATCTAGCCTTTGATATTACAATATATAAAATGTAAATGTAAGCAGTGTTTCGTAGCTTCAATGTGATGAGATAAAAAGACAATGTACTGCAAAATGTTTTTAATAAATGTCATTCTATGACTTTATATTCATAAAGAAAGAATCTTATGAACCAATCCTTATAGAAAATCAAAAGCACACAGTGCAACCAGTGTAGCCCAACTAATGAAAAATGCTTCTTTTAATGAAAAATGCAAAAAGACTTGCAAACACTAAGTCTGAATTCTCAGACTGCCCTCTCTGCTTTTATTATTCATATAAATTTTTTTGCCATCTAAGAAAAAAAAAGAAGAATAAATACATGCATACATACTGCCATACTAAATAAATATATTTATTATTATTAAAAATAAATTGATTTGAGGTTCCTCTGTGGAAATGCAACTGATTCGCATATTAATGGACATGAATGCGTATGTCAGGCCATAAATTCACAAGAAATATGCATTGACGCTTGCATTGGTGTCAACACCCCTCATTGTCCTCATGACACCATATATGTGAGCCTGCAGCACAAAATCAGTCTTAAGTCGCTGGGGTATATTTGTAGCAATAGCCAACAATACATTGTATGGGTCAAAATGATAGATTTTTCTTTTATGCCAAAAATCATTAGGATATTAAGTAAAGATCATGTTCCATGAAGATATTTTGTAAATTTCCTACCGTAAATATATCAAAACTTAATTTTTGATTAGTAATATGCATTGTCCTAACAATCCTAACAAACCATACATCAATGGAAAGATTATTTATTCAGATGATGTATAAATCTCAATTTTAAAAAATTGACACTTAAGACTGGTTTTGTGGTCCAGGGTCACAAATATTGTTTTCATCTGCCCTGGTGTGTTTATGTATGTACTTTGTAAGTGAAGCTCTGAGCATGGAAATGCACAGTGTGCATGTCGACTTCATTCCCCAGTCCTATCAAATACCACTCGGTCTTGTCATTCTCTGTCATATTCAACCCATGGAGGTTAGCATACATCTTTCCATTAATACCTGTGGAAGAGAGAGAGAGTTTTAAGTTCTTCAAAAAGTCTACGCCATGTGTTTCTCCAGAAAACTTGTAATACAGACAATGACACACACACATAATTACCATGCATTTTGTTGCTCTCCATAAAGTCCCCATCATATTTTTCTTCGTATTTTTCTGGGTCTGCGTTGAGGTACGTTTTTATGTTTTCATCCAGGTAGTGGGACTCATTTTCATCGAACACCAAGAAAAGGAGCGCAAACTCTTTATCAATGTCTTTTCTACGTCTGTCGGTGTTCAGGGTGTTTTTGCGGCACACTATCAGTGGACCCACCAAACCGCTCATCAAGTCCTGAAGAACATTCACAGAGAAGATCTGTAAAAACTCACACTATCAAATTTACATTTGGTTTAATAATATGGATCACCCTTGCATAAAAACAATGTGTATTGTTACTCGTTTTATACCTCAACTAGGCTGACAGACGAGTAGTAGGCATACGTTATACAGTTTGGATCACTGCGACCCGGACCTGATCGTTTTGGAATGGTCCAGCTGTATGTCGTCATATGACCTATAATACATGTAACACATGCAAACAGAGAGGTTTACTTATTGGTATACTCCTGAATCACTCCTGACCACATAAAAGACAAATCTGAGTAATAACAGACCTGGTTGAACACCGTTCTGATGGGTTTTACTGGTCTTCACTCCATGGGCATGAACAGAATATGGCTTGCTGGCTTTGTTTTTAAACACAACTTGAATCCTCTCACCAACCTCAGCTCTAATGATGGGTCCTGCAAATAAACAGAGTCAATATAGAACCACAAAAGCAAAGGTAATGATCTAAAACAAAGAGACCTGCTTTGTCAATAGTGAACCTAACACTCATCTATTAATGTGTGATGCTTCACAATATTGTTACTAATTACACCTAATTACGATTCTCTCTCTCTCTCTCTGTGTATATATATATATATATATTAGGGCTGTCAGTTTAATGCGTTAACTTAATTAGTTATTAGTTAATTAAAAATAATAAAACTATTAAAATATTTTAACGCAGTTAATGCACTAGCCCCGCCCCTAGACCTGTACATCATCATACATTTCATACAGTTGACTGTTGACAAATATGATGCAGGGCGACAACTCCATAAATGCAGTTATGCCCTAAAATTCAAGATATTGGGGCAAAAATGCCCCTGTATGAGTTTTTGTCTCATATTTATTTCATATGATATCACACGAGCGCTGTTTTTGTCCTGAATATCATGAGTTTAAATGTGATACAACAGTTAAGTAAATAAAAAGGTAATATTGTGTTACATTTTAAACACAATATTTTCTGTTTTTGCTTAATTTTGCAGAGAAATTACCTTTAAAGCCAAAGCAGAATTGTGCGGCTCCGAGCAACACAGCGTTAATTTGTTTCTGAATGAATCCACGTTTTAAATGAATCGTGTGAACCAATGACTCAATAGCCTATTCATAAAGTGAACCGTTTACTTCATTCTTGAATGAATCAGCAGTTTGAACGAATCGAATGAATGAATGACTCATAAAGACCTTTACAACATTAAAGGGATAGTTCACCAAAAAAATTTAAATTCTGTCATCAATTACCCTCATGTCGTTTCAAACCTGTATGACTTTCTTTTGCACAACATAAAAGAAAGTATTTTGAAGACAGTTGGTAACTAGGCTGTTTTAGTTACAAGTGACTTTCATTGCATTAAAACAAAAAATACTGAGATGTTTCTCAAATGATCTTTTTTTATGTTCCATTGTTGCTGTTGTAACCTTAACGTTTATGTGTAATACATTTTATTTTAAATCAAACAAAATATTTCTTTGTAAAGCTACTATTTGTATTGTCTACTTGATACTTTCTCATTTAACACAATGATGGCTTTAATTATCTTTTGTGGGTAATTTCACAGCCACATTTAATTCGCGATTAATTAGATTAATGAATTGACATTAATTAGATAACATGTAATTAATTAGATAAAAAAAATTTAATTGACTAACAGCCCTTATATATGTGTGTGTGTGTGTGTGTGTGTGTGAGAGAGTGTGTGTTTGTGTGTGTGTGTGAGTGTGTTTGTGTGTGTGTGTGTGTGTGTGTGTGAGAGAGTGTGTGTTTGTGTGTGTGTGTGAGTGTGTTTGTGTGTGTGTGTGTGTGTGTGTGTGAGAGAGTGTGTGTTTGTGTGTGTGTGTGAGTGTGTTTGTGTGTGTGTGTGTGTGTGTGTGTGAGAGAGTGTGTGTTTGTGTGTGTGTGTGAGTGTGTTTGTGTGTGTGTGTGTGTGTGTGTGTGAGAGAGTGTGTGTGTGTGTGTGTGTGTGAGTGTGTGTGTGTGTGTGTGTTTGAGTGTGTGTGTGTTTGATTATTGAGAAGCAGGTTTCAACTGACTTACGAGAGCTACAGTATTATAAGATTTATTAATAAATCTTAAGAAGTTTTTTTATGGAAAAAAGTAGTTCACAATTCACACTTCTAAAGTAAGATATAACATACCCATTATTTCCAAGTGCTCCTCCTCTGGACGTCTGTGTTTCTTTTTGGTAAAGGTTTCATCTAAATATTCACGAAACACCACCTTCTTATATTTTGCACCAATCCTATTTGTTGACTGTTCAAGATAAATTCCTCCAGGGCTAAATTAAGCAGGAAAGAACAAAAAACAAAAGATAATATGGGCATGAATGTGTCTAAATGTGTATGCATTCTAGTAATTTTAAAATAATGTAAGGTAACATAAGTAAATTGGTAAAACTCTGTAGCTTGCTTTGTGTGAAATAGACAGTCTCAAGCATGAGACTTGACTCTTCTCAGTCCAGTCTCAGTTGGAGTGTTAACTCGATCCCTAACTTTTCCAGACTCGTCCTTACAGACTGTAGAATGTCTGTGTGCACATATGCTTTTACGTTTGTGTGTATACCTGTCCTCCAGAGTAGTTTTGTGTTTCTCCAGTTCCCATGTGCGGTCTGGAGCATAATTCCACTCGACCTCCTCTGCTGCGATGAAGTACTGCACTGTGGAGGTGAAATGTTCTGCTGCTGGAGTCACTGCTGAACAGGACTTGACTTCATAATGCTGACGCATGCCAGCGTGGTAGTGTTCACCCGTACGACAGCTCAGCTCAAACTGGCCTGAGAAGAGAAGAGCATACTGATGAGCAAATATCTTTTAATCATTTAACAAAACAACAACAAGCTTTTCATACATTATACATACCTAACAACTGTATATTAAAACTTGTATAGTCTTGCCTAACTTTGTTAAACCGTTGTCGTGCCAAATCCCACATCCCCTTGAACCCTAATGGGTAGCTGCTCCCATAACCTTATGGATTATAGATGGCTGAAATGTGTTTAAAGGGGTCATCGGATGCCCATTTTCCACAAGTTGATATGATTCTTTAGGGTCTTAATGAAAAGTCTGTAAGATAGTTTGGTTAACATTTCTCAACGGTAGTGTAAAAAACACCTTTTTTACCCTGTCAAAAACAGCTCTTTTCAGAGCATGCCGTTTTGTAGCATTTTCCTTTAAATGTTAATGAGCTCTGCTGACCTCGCCCCTCTCTTTCGAGCTGCCTAGTCCTCTCTGAGGGACTGTTTACTTTAGCTGCATTCATCGTGAAACTTGCTAATTAGCACATTATTAGGAAAGGCGATTTGCAAAGATTCATTACAAAACCTTTTACTCACTTCTTCTGTAGGTGAGGCTGGATCATGAATGATTTGCGCGAACATAGACGCATTTATGTAGATCGGGGACACATTCCCTTCAGAAACAATGTAATCCACTGCGTCTTCAGTGGCTCAGATGTCGGGAGTAAACGACGACTGCTATGTTCATTATTACATCCAACAACAGAAGACCTCAATCGCTTAGGAGTCATTCTTGTCTACATCTGCTCCGGCGGTGAAACAATGGCGGACTGATGACAGCTCACTCAGGGCGGAGCTAAGGTAAGACACCAGTCCAGTCTGTGCTGAAATGCTACTGTCAATCAAACTATCGTGGGAGGGGCCTGTTTTTGTGACGTCACACTGACAGGAATCTGAAATCAGCTTGATTTGAGAAAGGGGTAAAGTTTTTTGTAGATTAACAAAAAACCACTGGGTGGATTTTTATCATTATAGGGTGGTTGTGTACACACACTGCCAACACACATTTCAGTTCAAACAACTTGTAAAAGTACATGTAGCATCATATGACCCCTTTTAAATTTTTTATTTAATTTTAAAGGCTTTATACAATCACAGTATTTTTCTCATACAGTATAAATGGGTTTTATGCATTGAAAACTTATAGCTGTTATTGGCATCAAAAAGTTTTAAAGGGTTAGTTCACCCAAAAATGAAAATTCTGTCATTAATTACTCACCCTCATGTCGTTCCAAACCCGTAAGACCTTCGTTCAGCAATGCAACTGAACTGTTCCCAGGTCCAGAAACATAGCAAGGACATCAGTAAAATAGTCCATGTGACATTGCTGTCTACAGAGGGTCAGAGAGCTCTCAGATTTCATCAAAAATATCTTAATTTGTGTTCTGAAGATGAACGAAGGTCTTACGGGTTTGGAACGACATGAGGGTGAGTAA